TAATGTCTGTAGATTATTATGGGATGGACAGAAACACTGAATCAGAGCAGTACAGCAGCATCCAGGAGTCTGAGTCTCTGAGATGTTTCTGTTGAGTCTGACTGTTTGTTTCAGACGAGGAAAGACTTCATCCAACAGATTCAACCATGAACACACACTCCTGACTCTGTTGTGTGTGTGTGTGTGTGGTGTGTGTGTGTGTGTGTGTGTGTTGTGTGTGTGTGTGTGTGTGTGTGTGAGAGTGTGTGTGGGTGTGTTTAATGTGTGTGTGTGTGAGAGAGTGTGTGTGTGTGACTGTGACTCTGTGTGTGTGTGTGTGTGACTCTGTGTTTGAGTGTGTGTGTGTGCGTGTGTGCATGTGTGTGTGTTTAATGTGTGTGTCTGTGTGTTTAATGTGTGTGTGTGTGTGTGACTGTGAGAGTGAGTGTGTGTGTGTGTGAGTGAGAGAGTGTGTGTGTGTGTGTGTGCGCGTGTGAGAGTGTGTATCTGTGTGTGTGTGTGTGTGTGTCTCTAAGTTTAATGTGTGTGTGTGTGTGTGTGTGTGTGTTATAAACAATCTTTTTTCAGTATAAATTGAATCATAAACAAACCTCCAGTTTGGTTGAAGAGCCGCTTTAAAATGTCAAGGTTGACTTTGAAGCCCTGCTGGTAAAACACAGCTGTCTCAGTCTGCCTCTCCCAGTAGTCAGCTTTGTCTTCTGTGACTTTGTTCATCCAGTCCTGTTTGGGTTCTACTCTCTTGGTGTTACTGTCGTAGTATTCTACCTGAATATCATCAACCATCCCAACAATCACAAACTCTGGGAAGTTTGGGACTTCAGAAGACGTTGTGTAGAAATTCTTCAGAGAGTGCATCTCTGTAAGGACAAAATGTTTTCATCAGTTTAATCTGAAACTTTTTGCATCATTTAACAAAAGTTATTATCCAGCACACAGAATCAAAAAACACTTCCAGTACATTCAACCAAACCTGACCATCTCTCTGCAGTCATTAAATACTCCAATTAATTTAGAGATGAAAAGAAAAAGTTCTCCTGGAACTCTTATTCTGATATTTCTGATTCAAGTGTTAGAAAATGTTTTTATACTGAAATTATTTATTCAACAAGTCAAATATTCAAGTGATGCAGTCATGCCCCTGACTTTCATTGACAGATATGTTTCATTAAGTGGATTTTTTATTGACTTCTTGACATCTCATGACTAGTCCTCACGTAGGCGGGTTTTATTATTTGAGTTTTGAAAGGACAGTGTTGGAGGACAGCAACAAAGAAAAACTATTGAACAGTATATGGAGCACAGTTTAAGAAGCTGTGTAGACTGAGTGGAGCTGCACAATCAGCCAGCGCAGAAAAACTCAATTAGAAAAAACTCAACTAAAAAACTTCAACTAAATGACAGATCATTTCTGAATCCTGCATGTTGTCTGCTTTCTGAATGCACGTCGATCATTGTTCTGTTTTTAATCTGCTCTTTAGAAAATATGCACTGCTCAGAACAAAAAAGCTTTTAGATAAATCTGTGCAGGAATAAATGTAACCACTTTGAATAAAGTCTACAAACTTTGTAGTCTTATTAATGCTGAATTGTTGAGGCTGCTGTGGATGTTTTTTTGACTTTCACAGATTAAAACCATTTATTTCTTTTTGTGTGGGAAACACAAACTGAGCTGTGACGTTTCAGTTTGAGAATAAAGTCGTGACTGCCTCTGGTGGACAAACTCTGTAATGCAGACTCTGTTTCTAAATGATGTTCAAGCTGCTTCACTGTTTTTCTGTCACTTATCGGCAACATAAGCACAGAAAACTAAATATGTGCAATAAGCTCACATCAGCAGATATGTGTTTCTAGATCCACTAAACAGTCTGATGTTTGACTTCAATGAAATGTTGGAGCTTCAGGGTTTATGTGATCTCAACTAAACAACAAACAAACATGTAAAGATGAAGATCATCTGTGGAATAGCTTTGAGCTTATTCATATTTCATATACAAATATTCAGAGGTAAAACAATAAACCGAGATTAACTTCATTTTGAGGGTCAGGAGGTTGATTATGTTTCTGATTCTTTGAGCACATATTTGAGTTTGATCCTCACAAAATGAACTTTAATGACTGTGACACTCTGATTATATGTTAATTATCACAATTCATTCAAGTGAAATAAGTATTTATACCACATTAATTATACTACATTAATAACAAAACACTTTTTCTAACATTAAAGTGTCATGAAGGACTTAAAGAGTCCATTTAAATGCTCTGTTAATGGTTTTAGAGGTGAAACACTTTGAAGGCATTTAGTTCCTTTTTCTTTCTGAATCAGAGTCTATCTGCTGTGTTCACTGTAGTTATGCTGCTATTTTAACATTCATGGTCCTGTTCATATGAACCGGGCCTTCATTTCTCGGCTTGTCTTTTGGAAAAGATAACTAGCAGACACTTTTTATAGCCTTTCTCACAACAACACTTTTCTTGTAAGTATCAGGGTGTGAGGACGTGAACAAACAGGATTTACTAACGTCAAATTAAATGTCACTTTTCACATTTCAACAAGCTGCATTTCAACAAGCTGCTTCAGTCTGAGAACAAACATCAAATGAAGCTTTCATTTCTACCAACAGTTTATAAAGACATGCGACATTTCCCTCTTTCCATTAAATCGTCTTCCAATTATTTTATTTTAATTCATTTTACCCAAACAATAGACACCATGCAGGCCATGCAGCAGTAACATATATCTTTAACCCGTTTTACAACAGCACCGTACTGACATTCACATTCCCCCCCCCCCCCGTCCGAGCACAGTGCAAAGCAACATCTAGATGTATCAAATTTATGTAGAGACAAAAATAATAATAATAGTAATAATACTAAAGATACTGAGGTAATGATGAAAGAAAAAAATAAAAAAATAAAATGAAATAACAAAACATTCACACACGACAACAACAACAATTAATAAAAAGAAATAATAATAATAAAAAGATAAATAAATAAAATAAAACCAAAAGACATAATTATAGTAATACTTTGATAAATTAATAAAATTAGGGTTCTACTTGATCCCATTATGGGGGATCAAGCTTGGTTCAGGGGCATGACTTCACTCTTCTCGTAGTTAAGCTTGTAGCCTGATATTGTACTATACTTCTCTAATATTGTGAGCAGTTGCGGTACAGACTTTTCTAGATGTGTAATATAAATTAATAAATCATCCGCATATAAGGAAAGTTTGCTTTCGCATGTCCCGGTCTGTATACCACATACCTCCCTGTTAGAGCGAATTGCCACAGCTAGGGGTTCAATGGCCAAGGCGAATAAGAGAGGGGAAAGAGGGCAGCCCTGTCTTGTCCCCCTTCCCAGCTGAAATGGCTTGGACATAACTTTGGGAGAGTGATACATGATTTTAATATATTTTATGAAAACCTCACCAAAGTTCATGTGCTTCAGCGTGTGAAAAAGATATTCCCGCTCGATTCTGTCAAATGCCTTTTGTGCATCCATAGAGATAACGAATGTAGGATCTTCTGAACATTTAGCAAGTTCGATGATATGGATTAACTTTCTGATATTGTCTGCACCCTGTCGCTGTTGTATAAATCCTGTCTGGTCTTCGTGGATAAGGTGTGTCATCACGCCCTCCAGCCGTAGTGCTACCAGTTTAGAGAGTATTTTAAAATCCACATTTAGCATTGACAAAGGTCGATAAGAGTCACATAGTTGTTTGTCCTTAGACATCTTGGGAAATACCATTGATGGTTGCCACTTCTAGGCTTGGTGGTAGTCTTTCCTTTTCTAGGCTTTCTTTAAGCATCTCCATCAATGGTTGAGTCACTTTGTTCTGGAATTGTTTATAAAAATCGGTCGGTAGGCCATCTGGGCCAGGGGCTTTTCCTGATATCAAGCTTTGAATTGCCTTACTAAGTTCTTCTAGCAATATTTCATGATCAAGACTACTTTTCATTTCTTCTGAGAGCTTAATTACTTCTATATTTCCCCAAAAATCCTCACACTTTTTGTTTCTACCCATTTGGTTTTCAAATTTGTACAGACTTTGATAGAAGCTTTCAAAACATTGATTTATCTCATCAGGCTTGTTTACAATGTTGCCATCTTTAGTTCGCATTGAATCTATTATTTTTGAGCTTTCCTCTTTTCTGACTTGCCAGCTAAGAAGTTTACCAGTTTTATCTCCTTTTTCATAGTAGTGCTTTGTTTCCAGTTCATGGATTTCTTGCTCTAATATATTTAAGTGTTGTGTGCTGGTTCTTTGTTTATGAGAGCCATAAGATGTGATCTGTCCTCTTAAGAAGGCTTCCAGAGTTTCCCATCTGGTGCTTGGGAATGCAGAGTTGGTGCTGACCTCCAAAAACTCATCAATTTTGTTTTCTATAAAGACAACAAATTCAGGATCGTTAAGGAGGTATGGTTTAAATCTCCATCGGTGAGGTCTGGGGCGCTCTAAGTTTTGTCTTGCTCTCAATTTTAAAGGACAATGGTCTGATAAGGTTGCCGCCTTATATTTACATAGTATTACATTGTGAAGCATTGTTTTGGATATTAGGAACAGATCTATTCTAGAGTAGCTGTTGTGTGCTGCTGAGAAGAATGAAAATTCTCTCTCCAGTGGATTAAGTGTTCTCCAAGTATCCACCAAGCCCAGATCACGCATACCTTCCCTGACAGCCTTAGCTGCAGTGCTTAGTGGGAGGGGGTTCTTCTTTGTTTTATCCAGTGAGGGGTTAAGTGTCAAATTATAATCCCCAGCCATAATACATTTTCCATAAATCTGTGCAGCAGCTAATAGGATGTCTTTAAAAAATAGAGCATCGTAATTATTTGGGCCATAGATATTAATAAGTGTGTATGGTTCTTGATTTATATCACATTTAAGTATTATCCATCTCCCAGTTGAGTCCTTTTCCTGGCTAAGCACTTTCATTGTTATTTGCTTGTGGCATAATATGACCACACCCCTAGACCTAGAGATATCTGAAGAGTAAAAAACTTCCCCCACCCAGTCTCGTTTTAGTTTTAGATGTTCTGCGTCTGTGAAGTGTGATTCCTGTAAAAAAAAAAAAAAAGCAATACTACAGTCTTGGGTCTTTAAGTAGTTTAAAATATTTTTCCTTTTCATGGGGTTACTGATGCCTTTGACATTAAATGTCATCAAAGTTAAAGTACTAGTCATTATAAAGCCAGCTTGAGTGTATTAGTACAGCCAGTATATTCAAATGTAAAAGCATCAGGAAAAAAGATAAATACACAATTAAACAAATACAGACAAAAAAAAAGAAGAAAGTAAAAAAATATATATATAAAATAAAACGCAAAGAAAGTGAAGGGCATTGACTCTAGATATATCTTGTGCCTATAGCAATTTGTGAAGTCAAATCCATTAAATTCATATATTTTTGCACTGGGCTCCCCCCCTCCCTTCCCACTCCCCAGTACGCACCAACTGACAATGAGATTGGTCTCATTTAGCACTTCCAATACTGTCTTTAACTGAGAAAGGGAAAAAAGAGATAAGGAAGAAAGCAAAAAGAAAGAAGGAAAAGGAAGAAAAACAGTCTTGTGATCCCAGTTGACTACCCCTTAACATTGCCAGGTCCCACACCACTATTAGTCATCTGTGATGATCTACCCTAACGTTTAGCCTAGCTCCGGTGAGGTACAAGAGATTTTTAGTGGGGGGAGCTGGGGACAGTCTAAATACTACACACAAATGCAAGCGCACACACCTTTACCGTCCCTCCCTCTGCTCATAAAAAAGCCGACTTCATAAGAAAGAGGGAGAGAGAGAGAGAAAATAAAAGCAGCAACAAGCGTAAACCAGAAACTACGCTGCACCTCCCTCACCCATCACCCAGTTGTTAACATAATCTCAATGGACTACCAAGCGAAGGTTTAGATGCCTTTCGTCGTTTTCAGCCTGCTGGAGTTTTTGTTTTACAAGGCGCCACATCTTTATCCAGGTTGTTAATTGATTCAGATGCCGTTTCAATGTTGTCTTGGTTGGCACTTATACGTTGTTACAATCTCCTCTACCTGTTCACCGAGCGTGGTCAGGGAGCCTCTAATCGAGTCCAGATTGCTCTGAATGACACTCATTTTCTTATCAAATTGCAGGAGCAGCTCCGTTTTACTTTCTTGAACAGCCTTCCACAGAGTCTGTAGGGTTATCTCAGCTGGATCCATGTCGGCAGCTAGCCACAGTCTGAGTGATGCTTGGAATTGCGGACACTTACTTACTTTTGCAATTGTTTGTAGGCAGTGGGGCCGATTAAGCAGTTTGTAGCAGAAAATCAGGAAATAAGCGAGAAATATGAATATAAAAAAACGAGCTACGGTAAAAAATAGCAATTAAGTCGTCCCAGTAGATGTCTCTGGGTAGAGCATAAATAGTATTTTTTAAAGCATACTGTGGAGGGTCCTGTGCACACTGCTCACACCTGTGCGGCCATCTAAATCGTCTTCAATGAATCTGAACTCACCTGCCGTCGTGTCGTGGAGGAATAATCCCACGAGAGACACAAACACCAGAGTCTTCATTGTGACCTGTGAAGTCTTCAGCTTCGTCCAACTTCAAACGTTTATGCTTCTCATCAACTTCTTGAGAATCTGCGTGTTTCGAGCTCTGAGCGTGAAATGAGGTGAGGAGAAAAAGGAGTGCTGACGTCAACCTCTGTCTCAGCCAATAGGAATTCAGCCTGAGCATCGACGTCACTAGTAACTAGGTCAGATTGACTCAGACAGGTTCTGAACAAGGGGCAACCTCCGGTCTCGAAAAATGAAGCCTATGCGGAAGTACAAAAAACTGCAGTTCCCCGAGGTTCCTCTTGAGGCTGGCTGCAGAAGCGCCGGAAGTGCCATAAGCCCACAGCCAAAAAAGCCCGTTTTTACCACAGGAATCAACATGTTTACAGCCTGGTTCAAAAAACGAGATATATCTGAGAATTTGACGGCCCCTTCTCCTCACACTGTGGGGGGGGGAATTTTTTTATAACTCATCAGATTTTATTCTATTAAGGAAAACGACTATGCCCATATTAGGGTTGTGTCAGATTTGATTGACAGCTCTGCGCGGTCAGGAGGTCAGGAGGTCAGCAGGTCAGGAGGTCAGCAGGTCAGGAGGTCAGCAGGTCAGGAGGTCAGGAGGTCAGCAGGTCAGGAGGTCAGCAGGTCAGGAGGTCAGCAGGTCAGGAGGCTAACAGCTTGATCCGTCTGATTTCTCCTCTTTCTTACTTCGTTTGGAGAGTTTGTTTAACACATATCTGACAACATACATGGCTTGCTGTGCGGTTAACAGACCATCCAACAAGTTGATGCTTCAGTTTTCTTCGGTAAGTGATATAGTAGTGTTATATTTACTGCTTACTCGTGTTTATATTTATATTTATAGGCCTACCTTGTTTAGCGTTAGCTTGTAAACCAGTCGGCTAACTGTACTCAGTGTAGCTCATTATTTACATTATTTACATTATTTACGGTCAATGGTTTAGAAATGTTTGTTAAGATGTTGTTGTTGAAAATAATGAGTTTGTGTGATGTTAGAAGCTAAAGGTTCACCTCGTTGGTTATCTGATGTTATGATGAATGTTATACTCCACGTAAATGTGGACATTAAAAACAAACTTTGTGTAGTAATTATCCGTCAGTAACATAAACTGAACTCAACTGAACCTAATGTGCTGTGTAGGTTATAGAGGATGACATTAAAGTTACATGGTTGATGTAGTGTCTTAAGATTTGAGCAAACTGTTAACAAATTTTAAAATTTCACTTTGTAAGAGCATCTGTAACCATTAAGAACTATATTAATAACCATATTAATTTTCACTGACTCATACACAGAATATAGCAGTAGAAATATAAATATAAATAACATATGGAATGAAAATAAGATATAAAGCACATAGATATAAAGTATAAGAATAGTTTGAAAGTACAGCCATGTACTGAGCTCATGTTAATAATAAATGAGTTACTGTATGTTCTGTACTGAAGCACAGAGAGTTGGGACTGTTAATGATTTAAATAATTCAGGTTATATTTGTTTCATGTTAAGATGAAGTACTATCCACAATAAACAGCTTAATTTTCCTCACAAAATCTGAGACAATTTGATGTGGAATATCATTGTGTGAGTGAGAGAGCTGAAAACAGCATGATTACAATAATGTTTATCTTCTTAATCAATAGATGTTGATTACCTGAATACTGGACCTTTGTTGTCTGGGTAGTACACTGTTGAATTTATAAATGTGCTCTTACATACAGATGAATACAGAAAAATAGATGAGAACAAAAAAATGATTTAATGAATAACTGATATTTTCTCTCTTTCTTTGCCATCCTGAAGACCCTCCTAAAAGTCCATGTTCTCCTGGATCCATGTCACATGCTCAGCTTCTTCAATGACTTTTCAACAGTCAAAGTTCTGGTGAGAGAAGATGGCCAGCAGATAAGACAGCAGTACATGAAGGAGCTCCACAGGCTTCAGGAGGAGGAGGAGGGTTTGCACTTAGGAAGACTGTATTCATGCTGTTCAAATAAACTAGATCTCCTCCAAACATCGCAATCAAACCATTTTCTTCCCATTTTAAAACCCTTTGTCCAGTTTAGATGGGAGAAGTTGATATTATGTGATATAGATCAGGGAAGACTACATTTTCTAAATCATTTTTAACTGTGTTTTATTCACAAGTTATTGATCTTATTTACTCTCCATGTATCTTGATTTAAGAATGGGCTGTGTTTAAGGTCATCATTTTGCAATGACTCTGTTCCATCCCACTTTCAGAAATGAACTACATTAGTATTTATCAAAAGAATAAGAAGTTGTGTAAAAGTAGACTTCCTTCCCTAAGCTATTGAGTTGAGCATTAATCTTGAAATGTATACTCATAAGTAGACATAAAGGAGTGATTTATATAGAAATATTATTTAATCTGAAAAAACAACATTAAAAAAAGTCTGTTTTACAGCAGAGATGAACATGTTTACAGCTTGGACAAAACAAACAAATAGGTGATTAGCTCATGTCTGGATGGACACACTCTGTACGGGGGTGAATGTTTTGATGACTCATCAGTTTTATTTGATGAAGGATAAGAGTTATTCACAATAAGGCGTGTAGCTGACCATTGACAGGTGGCGCGGTGTAACGGTTTGTCAGAGGTTTAAAACCCGCAGCTCTCAGCCTGTGGGTGACATCACTCAGGCCATCCGGGGAGACCTCCTCACAGCGAGCTGTTGAAGAGAAGCAACCGAAGTCCACCCCAGAAGAACCAACAATACAGATGTTGTTGAGGCTCAGGTTTCTTCTCTGTCTCTGCAGCTCTCTGGCACCTTGATGGACAGTCACCAATAATCCACACTGTGTCTATAGGAGAAATACAAAGGTGTTCAATTAATGCCTCAGACAACATGTACAGTTAACTACATGTGACAGCTCAGGGTGTTTTTTTGTTATGAGCCACATCTGCAGGAATAATATTGAACAAGGTAGCTGCAGCTCATCATAATAGATGCCAGTCTTAAACTATTTTTTCTAATACTTAAAGTTTTTGGTGTGAAGCTGACACTGTCCACGACTCCATGACTTCACAGGTTCTATAGAAAACAAATGTCTTATAATAAATACTAAATCATTATTTTCAGTTGTCATGTTCACCTCATCACTGTTGACATCAGTAAATATAAAACACAGACATTCTC